CTAGCAACTAAAGTTATGATCTAGCTGTATTATACTCTTTCTTCAGATGTTGATTTAAAGTTCCTTTCTAGTAAAATAAAAATTTTCAGTATTTGCATTCGTTACATTTTGGTTGTCGTTGGATATGATATGCGCCACACTCCTTATTTACTGGTGTATTGCTGATGGATAGGTCATTTTTCGAGCATATTATCCCCAGACCTTTTGCCTGATACTTAAGATAAATGCAGCGGGGAATTTGTTACTTAAAATGGGAATTTGTTACTTAAAATTATTCTCTTGATTACTTCTCGTTGCTTTGCCTACAGGAGCAGGTTCCTATTGTAACCACGAAAAGCAAGCTCAATTCACTGAAGCAAGCATTTAGTCTCTGAAGCACTAAAAAGCAAGCAGACATTGTGTTGGCCCTTATGTTTTATTTACGGCCTTTTTCCGCGGAGTACTTGTATGTAAAGTGCTTGAAAGATACATACTCTGGTTATTTTTGGTGGGAGCACGAGCTTCATGTGTTGTTTTATTGTCGAATTTAGTATTTTAAAAACCGAAATTTCAATCCTGCATCTCCACAGTGACGGTGAATGCTCTAATGCTCTATAAACCATGTCTATTGAGGTTGTATAGATACTCAAAAAAGTTAGACCAAAAGTTTGGTCTCTCCTCATATTAGTATTGAGAGCAAAGTAGATGAGTGAGTTTTATGATTTGCACCTTTCCCCCTAGTATGTACAAATTGATCCGGGAGCTGCTCTATTGAAAGCATATCGTTTCTACGCCTTGTACCTCTTAACTTGTAGGTAAATTTTAAGTAATTTGCATTCAAAGTAGGTTTCTCCTTTTATGCACTAACAAGGACCTGATGTAGAAACACACATTAACTTGTCAAGCAACATGAGGTCAGATAACCTGAACTCAAGGTAGGCATTATCCTTTAATGCAATGATAAAAAGACCTGAAATATTGTAGAAACACAACTTTTCAAGCAAAATGAGCTGACCTTTATAAAGGGGATTCAAGACTTGCTCAAACGACTGATATGAAATACAAGACAGTACAGGGAGGAAATAATTGAAGATGCTACTTAGTAACTATTAGGATTACCCACACACATTTAAAAAAAAAAAAGAGGTAACTATGAGATCTTCTGCGTGCCTTACCTATTCCGTAGCAGCAAAGAGGTTGAAAGTTGACTCTGTTATTGATTGCACCCTTTCCCATCATCTATACAAGCTGCCAATGATATTATTCCTATGCAAGGTGCAAAAAGCATACTCGCATCTCTATAATTTGTAGGCATGTAATAATCAGAAGCATGAATACCTGACAAACAATACCCATCAATTTTATTGAATGCAAGGTAGATTTCTCCTTTAATACACTGAAGATCCGAAACAATGTACAATGAAGGATATACATACAACTTTTTACGCAACATGAGCAAACTATGCAACATGAGCAGTCCCTTGAGATCAAGGGGACTCAAGACTGCTCAAAGAACTGATATCAAATACAAGAACAAAAAAAGGAAGGAAATAGAATCAACCGAAGATGCTACTTCTTAATAACTGTAGCATGATTAGTGTCTTCAAGTGCCTTCCCTTTTCTGTAGCCAATTACATAATGATTTCCTAGAGACTTTCAATACTCCTAACTCTTGTGGCCTTCTAACCACATGTCTATAATCATTCAGCAGCTGAATTTTTTCGACACCATCAGAATTATTTACATCATCAAGGCCAGGTACACGATTCCCACCCCCACTCCCATGACCGGCAATGACTTCAAGGCCCAGTTCATCTTGGAGAACTTTAACAATTGCAAGTTGCACCTCGAGCTCATGGTTAGCTGACCCCATCATTTCTTTCCCAGCTCCTGCCATGATGATCATATCTTCTTGAACAATCTTTCTTGCTGAAAAGGACAATTTGAGTAAAGTCACACGAAAAGAGGAAATGAACCAGAAATTCAATAACATCGATGGATTAACAGAACATGAAATCTAACAGAGAACACATGGACCATGGCTATACAGGCATTTTTGCATCTTTTGCCTCAACAATTCTAGGTTCTGAGTGCATAGAGATATACTTTCATTTGGTTCTCTGGCTTAAATCATTCCTGAAAGATGAATGCAATTCCTTGAAGCGAAGATTATGGTCATCACCTTCTACTCCCTCTTATGCATCCTTGAAGCGTGGTTGGTTATATCAATTGATTTCTTTTCCATAGCTTCCTTCACCAGAAATTTGGTATTGGGTCAAATGGTGACATCACTTTGGCCACACATACGACAGTAATTTTTTGTCATCCCCCATATAGGGCAATTTCAACATGAAGTTCCATTGGTGAACACCCCCAGGCTTTCGATGACAACCAATCTCAGATTTTAGTGTTCACAGTAGAAGCAGAAAGGTCGCATTGCTTATCACGGCAATAGTCAGCGATAATAACAGGTCTACTCCGAGGGGTTAATGTGGGAAGCTAGACTAGAAGGTATACATCTGCAGATTATAGATATAACTTAATAGCATCTAAAGTCATCCCGGGAGAATTAATATACCAAATGGAGATATCAATCTGGGTTATGTAATTATGATATAATTTCTTCTCTGGCTGGGTATTTCTTTTGGTACATTATTGGCAATAAAGCCTGTGACTGCTGACATTTGCTTGGTAAGGTGATTCAACTATTACACAAACTAATATAAGATACCATAGGATATTGCATCGGATTTTGTTATAGCCCAGATAGGAAATAGAGTAAGAAGTTAATATGCAACTGGGAACTAACACCTACATTTCACAGTTCTCATGTCATGGAAATCCATTCATGTACTCATTTCAAATTTTATACAAAGGAGTTGTTCTCTCTAACTATCCTCCTCATGCCACAGGTGTTAGTAACAGAGGAATTGTGCTTACCCGTGCGATAATTATCTCTGATTTTCCACAAAACTGAAAGAACAACGATCCGAGCCTCAACCTGCCAATATGGAGTATGAAGGATTAAAACTGGATATAGAATAAATATAGCCAAAAAAATTCTTTCATCCATTTAATGGATTCACAATAGGTGGATTACAAGCCATACGTAAGGCATAAAGATTAACCAGCGACAGAAGAAGATGGGACTCTAGTTTATAAAATTGCAAATCCACGATCTAACTCTAGGACCCCTACCACCCCATCTCCCCAAACCGAAACAACAAAAAATAATTAAAAAACCGCATACACTCTTGCATGCAATAAAGAAAATTATTAAAGAAAAACACAACAAACCATCAGGGGAAAAAAACAAGGCCACAAGAGGAGAGAATAAATTCTCTAGAGTGTATTGCAGGAGTTCCACTAGTAGTTCTCTGCTTCTGTATGTTTCACTCTATTGATTGACTTTGCAGCAAATTTCATCCTTACCAAAACTGCTTTGCACCCGCCCAAAACGCTCTCAGTTACAGGCAACAACTATCTTGTCATGATCTCACATGCCAATTAGCTCAATGAAGTAACTTAGGGAGATTCCATATATTGCGTGACTTGGATCTTCTAAGTTGGTTATGAGCATGTAATAAGCTTTACGTTTCATGCATAGTACATTTGAAGTTTATGAAATACCTTGGTAAGGCCCCTAATATCAATAGCATGATTGTCACCAACATCCTTTTGCAAGTAGTCTGCCACTTTTTCAAGTAGTAGACCATGATGCTTCTTGGAGTAAAATATCTTATGCTTTTTGGGGATACCAGTGAGGGCTCGATCTTGATCATTGCGTATAACTCCTTCACACCATTCCTCAAGTAATTCTTTGAGATAATAGTCATTGGCACTGTATCTGCAATTGAATATAAAGATCAAATTAGTAATTTAGTTAGTATTATGAGAAAATTCACAGATATAAAAATTCTGTCGAGAATTTGAAAATAACTTCACAAACACGTGATGTTTCTATATGAAAGTAAACTATTAATAGAGGTGGAAATATTTAAGTGGAGCACTTGCAGCTCATTAATACCAAAGTTTCAGGAGTACAGATGTAGCAAGGAAAATCAAAATCCAAGAACTATTAACCTTCCACCACTCGGAAAAACCAAATGTTCATCATTATAATCATTTAAAGCCTTTTCCAACAAGAGTGAGGCCAGCTGGGCAGCATAGAGCTTACAGCATGATGTGAGCATGATAATAAATTGATGCCAAGTCCATGGATGGGGAAAGAAGAAAGCATAGACAAGATAGAGACTTGCCATATATTATTGGTCATGGAGTTCAAAGTCAAACAACCAAGGATCAAACATAGCTAAAAGGGCCTCGTCCTTCTAAAATGCTTAACAATAGCTTGATGGCCATGTCAAGATCACTAGGTGATCTTTTTATCAACTTGATCCAAGTGCCCTTTGCAGGGAAAAACCTTCTCTGCATTCCCAAATAGGAGTCTATGAAAGCTAATCGAGGCATGGAGGAGCCAATACCAAACAAATTCAGGGTAATACTAAAATGCTTGCAAGATAGTTCTACTTGTTTACTTTTAACATCCAAAGAGAGTGAAGGATTAATCATTAAAAAGTCATTAGAGGTAGTCCTGAAGCCATCATAACCAAGCCCGCAAGAACACTAGGTGATGTTCCTTCACTGAAGCCAAATACTTTATGTATGACAGTGTTACACAGTTAAAAAACATGTCCAAAAAATGACTAGCATAAACATGAACGTTATGATGGATGAATGGATAAACATATGCAATATGATAAAATAAATGAGTGCATTAGCAGGAAGTTAAGAGGATGCTCCTATTAAGGATAAATGAGAAAAATGGAATGAGTTGGTTTAGCAATATAAAGTGAAGGACACACTAAATACACCAGTTAGAAGAAGTGATATGTTTATAACTAGTGCAGCAAGGAGGATTAGAAGCAGACCAAAGAGAACTTGATCTGAAAAAAATCAGTGATTAACTTAATGGAGGAGATAACCCTTAACAGAAGTGATTGGAATAATAGGATTCATGTAGCACAAATTGGGATAAAGGCTTTGTTGGTGTCTGTTGATCCAAATGCTCTTCGCTGAAAATAACTTCCCCATATTTCCCACAAAAAGAATAACGAGTAAATTGCAACTTTATCCTAGAAGACAAAATCATATGACTAGAAAGAAAAGGAGCCATGTATGTTGGTATTTGGGATTAGTTTAAAAGAACTACGTGCAATCCAACTCCTTTGTCACAGTTTGACTGCAAGAGCATCAAAACTTTTTTCACTACTTTGTTGAATTAGTATAAAGACAAGTAATAATATGTTCATAGAAGTCAATGCAAGGAGGTGCGATGTATCTAAAATATTAAACTATGTTATGATGAACACGGAAACGTAGAAGGATGAAGTCCACCTAATGAGGACAAGAAATGACAATATTTGATTAGTTGATATATTTTTAAATTTTGAATTTTGAAATCTAAAATTTGAAATTTAAAATTTGAAATTTAAAATTTGAAATTTAAAATTTAAAATTTAAAATTTAAAATTTAAAATTTAAAATTTGAAATTTAGTTTAATTTTAGTTGAGTGATTTGAAGGATTGTTGTTTGTTTCTATTTTTATTGCACGTTGTGTGCACGTAATTTCTTTTATAAATAAGGTTGTATGAGACTATTGAAAATAAAATGAATTATTGAATGAAAAATTGCATTAGCTAAAATCTGGTGTGAAGCCTTGGGTGTGAAACCTAGGCCTCGGGTGTGAAACCCTAGGCCATTCCCTGTGTCCTCTTCCTCCAGTCGCCAAGCATTCCCTCGTCTTCCCCACATCAACAATCAGTCAAACCCTCCTCTTCCCTGCAACCACCAGATCCACACTCAGCTCGTCTCTGATCTCCACCTCCGCACCACCAGCGCCATCATCTCCTCCCAAGCAGCCGCCCTACTCCCACTGTCACCGAGCCTCCTTTCCCAGCAACTGCCGCCTTCATGTACACCAACTGTTTGGCAAAATTCCCCACCAGAGCAATACTACCACTGCCACAGCCGCTTACCACAAATCATCACATCGCTATCGTCCCGTCAACCTTACTGACGCCGTCACTCTAGTCGCTGCTCAGAATCGCCGCCACCTTCGTCGTTCAGATTCGTCACCACGTCGTCATCAGTTCAACACCGTCGCACTCGTCGTCGTCAGATCTCCACCTCGTCGTCGTCGTTCAGTTCACCGTTATTGTCGCCCCACCTCCAGAGGTCTCTCACGTCGAGTCTGTTCAGACCGACGAATGTTTCGTTTTCTTTCGTCCCTTATTTTTCTATTGATTTTATTTTGTTAGTTAATTGCATGAATAATACATCTCTAAACTCTTATCATATATTCACTGTTTAAAGTATAATTGTGAGTTGAGAGAAACTGAACATGTGATTGTTAAAACTTGATATTGATTGTAAAACTTGTGCAATGATAATGAATATTGCAATTAAATTATTCGAGATTGGGATTGTTTATGACTGTCGATGCAAATCTTATTAAAATCCATCTGTCACATTAATTGTTTTTAAATTAATTTTCTACCGAATATTATGAATTTTGGCAAAACGGTGCGCGTTGTTTAAATTAGATCGCTGATTCCGATAGACCCCCTCCCCCGTTTCGCATCACCACCTAATAGTAATATAAAGTTTACAATGAACATTTAAGGGTTGTTAAAGATTCACTGTTCAATGGTGGTGTCTGCATTTAAAGTCAACAAAGTCTTTTCACTTTACGTAACAGAATAGGAAGAAAGACCATAATCTACATGGAGGAATGATAGAAGCTTCTGGAAGGACTATGCGTACCCTGCTTTCCGCATTTCTTGGTATATCGACAAGCACTGCTGGACTTCGAGCAGCGAACCATACCTCCTACGAGCTCTTAAAAGAGTGTTATATGTCACCTGAAATTATGAGTTCCTGAAATTATGAGTTTACAATACTTCATAAACATCCATCCAATTAAGGTATTCTAGTTATTATACTGCCATGTTGGAAAAGGAAAACATTTCAATAATGATAAATGTAAAATACAATATAAGAGCTGTGTCCCTTCATATGGGTTTGATCTGCAAACAGGGAAGCACACGACTCTGATTTGTGTGCATGCATGCGCATGTATATACAAATAGGCACTCTGAAAACTTAATTTCAATTGGCCCAAATGAAAGTAGTCATGTGATAGAAATTGTTCCATGTATGTATGTCAAGCTGCCACCACAATAGTTAATGAGAGGCTTGAACAAATTAATGATTTGCAAAATAAAATAAATATTAAAAAGGACAGCGATTATAATTGAAGGTACCAAAACCCAGGATACAATATTCTAAATAATAAATTGCAAAATATAATTAAGCAGATGGACTAAAAGCACCGACTTAAGGAATCACTAGTAAATAATAGAAAGGTACTCGCCAAATTGGGTTGTAGTCGATATCTTTTCATCTCTTCAAATAAAGAGAATGCCATCTTCAGTTTTTTATTCTCAACACATGCCTGCCAATAAAAGAATTGCAATATAAGTTTATTTTGTTTTATTAAATCATTAATGAGAATTACAGGAGTTACCCTATCCTCCTAAAAGGACTTAAAAGAAGAGTAAAAATTCCACACATTTGTTGCAAAAGAAATTCGATCAGAGTTCCATTTTCAATCACCAAAACATTTTTTAGAATTTCTACGTTTATATTGCAAAGCAATAGCTTGCTTTCTGGTGTGGAATCATATCAATGCCAGCGTTTTCACAAATAAAGTTATTATTAGACTAGTAAGTAGTAACTTAATTTTTTGATGTCATTGTCAGGTCCGAATGAAGTCATAAAACTATGAAAAGGTTGAAAGCACTTTGCACACAAAAAATAACTTATGTACATGTGCACACAAATTAAGTCGTTAAACTATGAAGGGTATTCTGGTTCTCTACAGATCGGGAATACATGCTGAAATACTAATCTAGCAAACATTCATAGTCACCGAGCCAAGTTATGAGCACTTCAGACTTCAGCAGATGACTAATGTCCAACCTTGATTGCTGTTGTATACGCAACCACATCAAGCTTAACTCCAACACCTCGCATACTTCTGAATGCCTGCACTAGAAAAGGGATACTAATTATAAACTTCTCCAAGCAATGTCAGCTAAATGATATAAATCAACTTGGAAGACATTCTCTTTTGCGAAGTATGATGACTAAACTAAACCACACAATATACATAATATAATCTGCAAAAAGCTAATAGGCTAAGAGCAAGATGCAACTAGAACAGTTAACATAGGGGAAGGGGAACCTTGAGATAGTAAAAATAGCACTCTTAAGACAACTACAGATAGAGGCATAACAATAAAGCCTAATTCAGAAAATTCTCATCTTAGATAACATGAAAAATATGAAAGCATACCCAACATATTCTTAATTAATTCAGAATAATTGTACAGTGCAGATAGAAGAAAAAAATTTATTCAAAGCTCCACCAAGGTACTGTTTCTTCCACCAAAATCTACTAATCTCATCAAGGAATGTACACAAGAAAACTTCAGCAATTCCAGACAAAAAAGAATCTAAAGGAGTAAGAGATTAAAGTGCCAATTAGTTAGAAGTCACTAAAAGCATTATATCTCTTGTTGCTTTATAGTGCCAATTAGTTAGAAGTCACTAAAAGCATTATATCTCTTGTTGCTTTGTAATTATTAAGCCTATGGGGGAAAAGTCACTGAAAATATTATAAAGTGAAAGCACCCATAGGAAAGAGAAGATGCATATCATGCAGGCTAAGAGAGAGACATCACAAACATGTTTAACAACCAAACATATCATGGGTGCAATGTAGAACCGTTGAGAATGCAGTACATGCCAACACGTCTGCATGCAATAAGAACTTACATGCCAGGATGAAGATGATGCTCAAAAGAATTAACAAATGACAAACAAGGTCATCAAGCTTGTCAGCAAAAACAAATAAACAAAAAAGAAAAAGAAAAAGAAAAAGAAAACAGAAAGGCATATGTCATCCTTGTCAATGGCAACATCATGTTGTTTGTATGTTGGCCAGCTCTGACCTTAGCAGATAGTCATAGTTGCAGCACACATTGCCAGAAGCAATCGAAGCAAATGTGCAAAGAAGTGTGCAAAGAAGCAGACCACGGTAACCATAAACATCAAAAGGCTAATAAATCTATAAAAGGACAAAATTAGAATTTATAACATCAATAAAACATAAAATGTTAAAGGTACTGCATGAGATCTTCCCAATTCCATAAAATGAATAGCAAACTCAGACTAACCTCCATAGCACCCTTCGTATTTTGAGAAGTTCCACAGATATCAACTAGAATAGACCAGCTAATGTGATTAGGAGAAAGGCCCATTGCTTTCATATCCTCCATCACAGCTTTCGCACGGTAATAATCAGTACCACAAGCCTTCATCAAAATGTTAAATGTAGCGACTGTTGGTTTGAAAGGTACCACTTTAGCAACCCCTGAAAATTTGAGAATCTTTTTAAGACGGATGTAGTCTATTAAAGCTAATATGAGGTCCATACTGTATATCTCACCATTAGTTGCATTCAAAATCTGAATCCCATTCGTTTTCCAGGAATAGAAAAATCTAAATGCTCTGTCATACTGACATGACTTAACACAAGCATCAAGAAGAATGTTGCAACATTGAGCATTAGGTTCACAGCCAGCCATAAGCATTTCTTCAAACATTTGAATGGCACGATCCGATAAACCAGCATTAGCACAAGCACTGATCAAGGATGACCAAGTAATCATATTCGGGCTCACGTCAGCTAAAAGCATGTCTTCCTTTATGTTCAGAGCCATTTGCAACATTTTCGCATCAGCAAACACCTAATATTTCAAAGAAAGAAAATAAACATAAAGATAAATTGAAGAACATTATAGTTAAAAGCAAGGATAAAAAGGGAAATAGAAAATAAAGTTGTGACAGAATGATGGATACATTTGTGTTAAGATTTTCAAATTTCAGCAACTTAGCATGGAAACAAACCTTTATCATTGTACTGTATGTGATTACATCCAATTGAAGATCTCCTTTGGATGCCATATGCTTTATTTCCTTGTAAATATCTTGTGCTAAATCAACTCTTTGGGCATTACAACATGCTTTCAAAAGTACATTATAAGATGTCACATCCATCGGCACACCTAGGTTCTGGACAGTTACATGAACAAGAGGTTAGCAACAAGAAATTACTTGCATAATCACATTTTGAACTAGAAAACTAATATTCGACTAGCAATATCACGTAAGTCAATAAGCAAAAACATCAATTGATTGGAAGTGAGGCATGTCAGATACAAAAACAAAGTGCTTGGGAAGAAGTGTCAGATGGAGTTTTTTGTTTGCATTGAGAAATATTTAATGAAAATTATTCAGTTCTACCTACATATAAAAAGTAACAATAGAAACAAGTTGATAATATTACTTGCATATCCTTGTAAACATGCAAGGTGTAGCTCAAGTCATGAGAATTCACATTCATGAGGCTGTTGAAAACGTATACATTTGGAGTGATCTTCTGATCAAGTAACTCCTGCATCAGAAATCAATGTAGAAACAATCGTAAGAATCACTTCAAAGAAAATAAGTACAAACATACATGAATCCTTTCTTGTCCATGATCCTATTAGGTGATAATATTAGCATGCATAACCATCAAGACTTGTCCCAATTTAGTGTTGTTACACGAATCCTTCCTTGTCCATGATTTATTTAATGGACTATATCAATCTATTTTCTGGCCATTTGAATAAAAGAGAAAACTCAAAATTTTCTAAACAAAAAGAGGGGAAGGAGAAGCCTCATTTCAGACCCCTTTTTACAGCGCTGTTCCATGTTTACATAGATATCCTTACAAGTTGTTTTATATACTCCCTCCACACACAGTCCCACCCACACAGAAACTAAACTCTTACGGGAGAACATCCTATCTATCACTTTACAGAAAGGCATCCAGAAAGTACCTGAAAAACACTCCTGGATTTCAAAAAGTCTCCACAAAGACCACATACATCAATTATGCTTCGGCATGCAAACATGTTGAAACCACCAGACTTTTCTTTGGAGGTTTCATAGGCTCTCATAGCAGAAGCCATGTCTCGTTTCTTTCCAAATTCTTCTATAATGGAACAGAACAGAAGTTGCGAATGTGGAAAAATACTTGCATACCTAAAATTCATAGAATAGTTCATCAATATCCTTTTTTACCTGTAAGTCAGAAAAACCGAATTACTAATGGTTTAATATAGCAACATATTATGGCCTGTTACTAAACAAAAGCTTTGGCAAGGTAGACACGCTGTGAGTGGATAAGGGATGGCAAAACATTCACAAGACAAGAGCCACATGGCCCACATACAAGTGGTGTATTCTTAAGCCTAAGAAAAACCACATCATGAATAGTACCACAAGCTATGATTTAGAGGCATGGACATGAGTATTACATTAGCATATAGACATGGCAATTATTAAAATTTTTTATTTCCTAGCATTATTGTTATGCTTGTTTAACTCATATAAGTATATCTATTGGTTTTTATCCATACAGGAAAGAACCTAATTTTAGTAAAATGATCTATGCAACAGTTAGCTTTTATTAAAAAAAGGGGAATGCACATATTTTAAGGTTGAACAATAACGTAAACATTTGTGAGTGTTCGACACGTTGGCATATAGATTGTGTTCAGATGTATATGATATGGCTTATTTTGGTTAGGGAAGTGTCCTACATATCACAAATCATTAATTCTTAAAGCAGCTACCACCATACTAATGGACTCATAGTAACACAAAGCCCTGTAAGACTGCCTATTGTTAGTTATCCAGGTGCAGATCTATTATGTAAGGGTGTATCTAGAGACCTAGGTTTATGGGGAGTCAGATTCAGGTTAGACTTGTATGCTGTCTCCAGGTTCTAAATTTTGCAACAACAGTAGAAGGGGTTTTACTCCGAGTTATGTAGTACATTTCTCTCTCCCAAGATTTGGACGGTGTACTCATTGCTAACATGGTTATGCACTTTAAATCCATAGATATGTACTTTAAATCAATAAAAGCAAGGACTTTTGGCAACCATTATATACATAATATTACCTTTGTCCATTATTTTAAGCTTTAATAGTTATGCAAACACAAAACAAGATGTAGTAAAATAAATCTATGATTTGGTTCATCAGAAAGAATCACGTAAAACTATGTTCTTGTATCCCATAATTTTTTGTTTTGTCCAACAGAATTTGCCTGCAACGACATATGATACTTATATGTGTCCACATGACTCCACTCCACATCTTATTGGTTTTAGCCAAACACTAATCTGGGTCATGAACAATAACGATAATAAAGGACAGAGAAAAGACTGTTAAGGATGGCCATACCTTAAAGCCATATCTGGGTCAGACTTTTCAACAAATAATTTCAATATGTCAACTGGATCGACAATATCTTTGATAGCGAACCCATAACCTAATATTACAAATTAAATTGGCAGTATATTAGGAAAGAAATTTTGTTATCATTTATATCATACGCAGATATGAAGTCTAAAATATTTAGTTTTTCTTTTCCACCAGAAGCAAAATATCTGCTATGAGCAGATCAACTTGCTTGACAATAATTAAAATAATAGGTTTGTATGAGTCATGACACTGTTCCCAGCCAAGGGGTAACCCAAAACATATGAACACATACCAGCTATCATAACAGCACGGTAAGGCTTCAATTAGAACATATTTGATATAGTTAATCTAAAACTTTACAATTTATATTATACTGTGCACTTATTTAAAAGGAACACGGTAGTAGTTTTCTTCTTCTTTATCTGAAAAAGAAAAGGAGAACACGATACGGTTACATATGATTATAGATTATGTGATTGAAGGATGAAAACTATCTAGAATGTAGGAGAATGAACGGTCCAAAAAATTAAATAATTTATCCATTAGTGAATCATTTAAGTACGGACTTATCAATGAATTAGGATTAGGATAATTTGCACTTTGGTGCCATATAGTTGTCACCTTTGCCACAAATTTATTTTTGACACTTTGATGCCACAAACTTCTCTTTAAATTTAAACTTGATGGAACCAAAAAGCAAATTATCCAATTTAAATGAAACTTGGCGGCATTGAACTGTCAAAAATAAACTTTGTGCATGAAAAATTAAAAGGCGACAACCTCATAGCGGAAATTTCAGATCGATTCATACACAAAAAAAGCTCAATCAACTTTGAACACCTACACTAACGCGAGCAGACAAAAAATGGCAATAAACATATATACTAGCAAAAAGAAACGACTCTCAAATAGTTGAATTTACCTGCCAAAGTCTCCATCAACTCCACAAACTCCT